ACGACGACGACGACGACGACGACGACGACGACGACGACGACGATCGAAGCGCATTTGGAATCTTTTTGACAATAGAAACCTAATATTCATCATTTATGAATAGCGAAGAGGAAACATTGCAAGAAGAAAATGAAGAAAATGAAGAAAATGATGAAAATAATGAAAAAATGTAGCCGCGCCTTTCTCTCGTAAAAGGATAACTGCGTGTTGTTTACGGGTTCGTGTACGTGTTTATATGTATGTATATTACTAGGCGAGCGATAGACTCGAGGATGGGAGGAGGCGCGTGGTACTCACCACGTGGTTCAGTTGAATTGTGATGGTTGTTAGAGTGGGGGAGTGCGACGGCGAGCGACGGTTGATTGGAGGAGGTGGATGTGGAACTACTAGTGCTAGCGATTCGTTCCCTCTTCTTCTCCTGCTGCTCGACGTACCGCGCCGCTTCCAGTAACGTTTCCAGGCTCATTCTTAATTCGGTCGCCCTCCCCCTCCTCTTCTTCTTTGGATCCAGCGTATTTTTGATATATAATTAATAATGTTTTCTTTTTTTTTACGTTCGACGATACCGTCCAAAGGATCGGTATCGCGCAAAGGCGCGACCTATAAATTTTCTTCCTTTCTCCCTCACCACTAGTCTTTTTTTCTTTTCTCGTTAGTTGCTTCCACCACCTCCGCCGCCTCCGCCCCCACATCCGCCGCCGCTGCCGCTGCCACCACCGCCACTTTCACCTCCAGCTCCGTGTTCTTCTTTCTTCTTCTTCTTCTTCTTCTTTTTCTTCTTTTTTTTTATTATTATTATTACTATTGTTCTTATTATTATTATTATTATTATTATTATTATTATTATTACTATTATTATTATTCTTGATGTTTTTGTAGTAATTCTGCTACCTGTAGAAATTCTTCGTGGTGTCTGTTGTTACTGCTATCCACCGCGAGTAGTCAATCTGCGTTGAAAAACAAAACGCGCTTTGTTACATACCTTCTCGACGATTCGAATTAAACATTTTGTCAAGAAAATAAATAAGTATATATCGAATGGAGCGCAATTTGAAAACGCATTATATTGCAGAACACGATTAGTACCGCGTCCCAACATACGTCACGTGACTTAGGCGTGACGTAACGCGGAGCGCGCGGGAAGCATTCAGTTTCCCTCCCACGCGGATACTAGCAGAAGGGACGAAAGAAGAGAAATGTTAGTTCTATATCTCCTTATTGTTGCAACAAAAACCGACAATATTGACACGTTTTATATGTTTAATCGTATAATATGCCACAATTTTCTTCATCAATTTCATATCAAATTATGTAGAAACAGTAGTTGTCGTCCATGGGTAACCCATGTGACTATCATCAACCAAAAAGTCCAACAAAAAACCAAAAAAATTGTCTTGAAAATATCCTATACTAATAAGCAATATTTACTACAATATTTACTGCAATTAATCAAAGTTAATCAAAGTTAATCAAAGTTAATCAAACACATAAGAGGAACAATAATGTTGACCTGTCTACAAAATCTAGCATCGTTAATGTCTAATGATTAGTATTCAAAACTGTATCAACATAGTTTACATTTGAAAATATTTTCAATTGGCGCGTAACCCTTCTACGAGTATTAAATAACGTATATCCTTGTTAAATTACCATAGGTAGCCGAGAAGAAGTAATCTTAATAAAGATTCAATCGTCATATTTTAATAAGATAAATCACAGAATGATTTAAAGTCAAGTAACAGGAGTGGACGACTTGCTGCACAATTCGACGTTGGTTCGATGTTAGTTGGTTATAGAAGGGAAGAGAAAAGAAGCCGGGCTGGATGGGAAAGGAGAAAAGAGGGGATGGGAAATAGAGGAGAAGGGAGAAGCACGACACACGACGAGAGACAAGAGGCGGGAAAGGCGAAGCAAAGAACGAGGTTCCAGCGTTGATTCGAACTCACTTTAAAGAGAAAGAAAAAGAGAGAGAGAGAGAGAGAGAGAGAGAGAGACGATGGTATATGCACGTAAATCGTAACAATAGAAAAGCAGAAAAATAAGACAATAATTTCGAATTAGCAACTGTAACTAGTAAGATTAAACTCAATCTTACTTTATTTCATCAACAACCCAGATAGCAAAGAAATAGAAAGAGGAAAATAAAAAAAAAAAAGTATAGAATTAAGTTTATAAGAAGAATTAACGTTACTTTAAAGGAGTAAAAATGCGAAATGCGATGACAGAACGAAAAGATAAGAAAGGGACGGCAGAAAATGTTAGGATAAAGAAGGGACAAAGGGGAAGGAAGAAAGGAAGAAAGGAAGAAAGGAGGAAAGGAAGAAAATAAAGGAAGGAGGAGAAAGCGGAGGATGAGAATTCGTTAAGTATTATTCGAGAAGGCAGGGGAATGGGAAGTTCGCCGCGCGATAATTCAAGAAGCGGCGCCGCGAGAGGAAAAGTCAGTACAACACCGAGGAGAGCTCCTTATAAACTGACAAAGCGAGACACGCGTACTCATACGTTAACAGTGTATCCGCCACCGCCGACGCACGTACCACCGGCCAATCGGAGCTCTTCGGGCGGTGACGTCATGGCCTCAAGTTTTCGCTCATTGGTCGAATCTATTATGGCACGGAAAACACGCCACGCAACCACCTATACACTTACACAGAAAGATTTACACGAGCGCACACGCACGTTAGTAATGTTAGACATATAATACGTATTAAACACACAAAATACGCGTCTAACTTTTCACGATGAACGTCAATTCAAATAAACCGATAGTTTTTCTTCGGATTAAAATAAAGAATCTCCTGTAAATTTTTCTTTACGACAATTTACCGGGCGTGGTGATTATCAGAAAACCTTCTACGTACAATAAATAAATCGTGAAAAGTTCTCAATCATATCGTCCATGATACACTACCTCTTCGTCATACGCGTATATGTATATATACAACAAATTTATATATATATATATTTATATACGTGTGTACAAACGCGGCTCGCAACACACGGTGGATCGAGTATGCGAGCGCAACGCACGCACGCACGCACACACACTTCTGACAGTCTTTCGAAGAAAAGGATAAGAAATGTCTAGAATACAGGAAAGAGAGAAAGAAAGAGGGAGAGAAAAGAGGAGAAAAGAGAGAGAGAGAGAGAAAAAGATATTGAAGAAAAGAGTAAGAAGAGAGAGAGAAAGAGAAGAGAGAGAGAGAGAGAAAGAGATCGATTACTCTGATGATTATTTCCGCGCGTCATATCTCTTTTCTCTTTCTTTCTTATTTTTTCTTTCTCTCTATCTCTCTTTCTTTATCATTCATTCACTCACTCACTCACTCACTCACTCTCTCTCTCTCTCTCTCTCTTGCTCTTACTTTTGCTCTTGTTCTCTATCTATCTATCTATCTATCTATCTATCTATCCATCTATCTATCTATCTATCTTTTCTTGTCAAACGTACCGTAGAAACAGAAGGAAGATCGAACACGAGGGAGGACTAAGTTTCACGTTCACGTTAACTGAGCCACCGGTCGTCCCTAGACGTTTCAGAGCACACACGATGGTTATAACCTGATCGATCTGGCGCGTGGCAGAAACATTTTACAAGTGTTAACCACTGCGCATCAACAGCCATGCTTGCTTGGCCACGATTCACGTGTCTGGGCTCCGACTTACGGGCCAATGGTAGTGCGTTTCATGACGTCATCCTGCTCTATCGACCAATGAACGCGGCCCATGTGACGCAGCAATTCGGCTGGGCGTGTGAGAGTAGTGTCGAGCTCCCTGCATATCTCTTCGCCCGTTACTAACCATTGCACTTTTTTCAACATTATTATCGACAAACTCGAAATATATTTTATTTTATTTTTGTCCGCGAATATTCGTATTATCACAAATTGTAATATTAACACTAAAGTTTTCCTAATGTCTTATGATTGTCCGTTTAATTGCCGGGTGTTAGAAGAAAGAGGAGAAGCTTTCGTACTAGGCTCTTACCTTTCGCGTCGACGCCAAAACGGAGCTGAGTATCGCGCACGTGAGAAAGAGATAGAATGAATTGTCATTAGAGAGGGGGTAAAGCACAAAGACGGATAGAACACAAGAAGTGGGGGAAAACGATCCGCGGATAGACAGAAAGAGAAAGAGAGAGAGAGAGAGAGGAGAGAGAGAGAGAGAGACAGACAGACAGAGAAAGAAAGAAGACTAATGTTCTGTATACGCAGAGCACACCCGACACCCGGCTCGCCCGGGCAAATACTTGCTCTGATGTTGGCAGCCTCACTCTCTGCTACCTTTTGTCACGTTCTTTCTCCGTCACATGGATCATCCTTCTGCGCAGTTGCCATATCGTTCGTTACGGAGGCGCGCTTCATTGTTTACTTAAATGCGTGCGCGCATCCTATTACTCTCTCTCTCTCTCTCTTATCTTTTTCAAAATGACCCTTTCCAATGCATTTTCATTTCAATACTCCTAACAATTTTGATACATCGTTTTATACTTATATTTTGTATTTTTGACATCAAATCAATCATCATTTTCATACGAATAGAAATAGATATGAAATAGGTATAATCATATAAATTGTTTTCCCCCAAACATTTAATACAGTACTTTGACCTAATTACTTTTTTATAAAAAATATTTTTGTCGATATTTCGCTTATAAAATTAAAGTAATGTTCAGTTTTTTAATTGATTTCATTAATTAATAGATAGCATAATACAAAATTTATATTCATGCATTTATTGATTTATAATTATTATCAAATGTTTTTAATAATAAAAATAAAAAGGTTTATCTGTAGAAACATTTTATGTTATTTTTATTACATAAACAATCCTCCAAGAGAATTTAGTCTTTACAATGAAAGTTATACACCTTTCTTATCTTTCTCTTTTTTTATACATATGTATAGGTATATTATATTTAATTTACTATAAAATATTATTTGTCATATATTTTAGTTCGCTTAAATTCTTCAAGTATAGAAATAATATGACAAATAAATGTTTTTATTATTATAAAGCACAATCGTTTCGCAGAATTATTTCAAGTATTCTTTTAAATGAGAATAAATAAAAGAATTCAATCCCTATTGTTTACAATTTTATGCACATAGGTGTATTAATACAATGAAATATAATATATCTTATTAGCTACTCTCTTTCATTGGCAAACAAATGAGAGATATAATGAAAAATCAGAACAAAATAGAGGTAACTGTGAAAATATATTTGAAAATATATTTGATAATATATTTTAATTGTATATATAAAAATATATAGACTAGGATGACTATAAACAATCCAAATATCTGACTACTACCTGGTTTTACTTTCAAATAAAGACGTTGAGCTCTATCTGTCCGGCTGAGCGCCCTTCAAATATCCACAGATTTACGACTTCGTTAATGTTCTACATATTATCATTTTTCTATTGTTAATTCAAAGCACAGTTGTTTGGGTTGATCTATTGCTTTTTGTATAGAAAAATAAAGAATAGCTTATTCAATTTAAGTAATATCATAGCTTTATTCCTACAAAATCTAAACTACCTGAAACATTAGATCTGTGTAATAAGGATTAAGACTATTGTGGATTGACTTATTAGACGAAGCATTATCTTATTGAGTATCCTGGTTACTCCAGGTACACCACGGATCATGCAGTTATAACTTTAATATATTTCTAATACTAATGACTGTTCAGAGTGATAATATACTTATCGTAACGATTTATAGTGATTTTCAAGGCTTTTAGAAATACTAGATAATAAATAAAATATTAAATAGTCTCAATATCATTGTATGTCTGTATTTTAAGATTTTCTCATTCGTATCTATTTCCTTTGTTATTTACTATTCTCTTCTTTTAGCTGATTATTCTATCATACGATTATTAATTTATAACACAAAGAGAGCCAAAAATACTGATATATATATATATAACTTTGTTTTCATTTAATTAAAAATAAAATATCAACTCTCTTTGATGGTGCTATATAAATATAAGTCATAGATCTCCCGATAAAAATGTCAGATCATACAGTACAATACAATTATTGTATTTTAAATATTTCTTATATTCTTTCTTCGTTTTTTCTTTTTTTCCTTTTTTTCCTTTTTTTTTCTTTTACACATATTCATTGATTCTTATTATTTTACTTTAAAGCCATTATCTTTTAGGATTTGTTTCTTTTTAAATATTTAATATAAAGGATCGATTTATATTACACAACTTCGAAACAATAAAGTTTGTTACAATATATTTTTATCGTACTATAGCCTACTAATTGATTATTAGTATCTTTTTTTTTTTTGTCTATTTTGTTGAATTCGCAATCGCAATCGCAATCGCAATCAAAAAAACAATTTTCAATCTATTACGAAATAATACTAAATAATAACAGCAAATTAAGCATTTTAAAATATTCAAAAAACTATCCTTTTCTTTAAATCGCGTTTAGCATATAAGTATTTAAAATAATGAATAATCGAAGGGGATGATATTTTTTTTCTTTTTTTTCTTTAATTAATATCTCTTTTCTATTGTAAAAACGAATTTACTAAAATATTATATAATACCAATTGCATCTAATGTCTTAACATAGCATTGGTTATCTACTCAAATTGCTAACGTAAATATGTTTTAATTCTGTCTTTGGTGCATTTTCGAAAAGCGCTGCTCGATTCTGCCCTTCTCCTTTTTTAACCCAATGACCGTAAACTCTAAATGCACAACCATCGATAATCTATACAAAATTTCAAAAGATTAATTTTAAAGTAAAATTATATATATATATTATAAATATGAATATAAATAGAATTAATATTGTAAATATATTTAAAAAAAAAAAGAAAAAAAAATATAAAAACAAATTAAAATATATTATACATCTTATACTGCGTTATTTATAAATACCTTTCGTAAGATTTTTATTCTATATGGATCGGTACAAGCTACTTGAGTTGAAAGAGGTTCAGGTGTAGTGTGAAGTCGCTTAATACGTATTACTGCTCGAACACAAAGGATTGCTAATTGGAATCTTCTTCGCGCATTAAATGATTTTGCTTTTAATTCCTGAAAATTAAAAAAAATTAAATAGAATTTAAATTTTATCTTTAGACACAAATATTAAAATGTAGAACTGTACAGAAATACAGTGCTGCTGTGGAAAAAGTTGTGTGGCAACTAAAAGATTGAATGCAATCACGTTGGGATTTCTTGCTAATAGCTTTGCACAAGCTTTACGCATAAAAATTAAATAAACATAAACATGCACATTAATAGTATAATCAAGCTTCATTTTTCACTAATGTTAATAATTATTATAACTTTGAATGTATTTCATTTTATCTCATAAAAACATTCCAATCGTAATAAAAGTATCATGCACTTAAAACAAAATTGTTAATTTTTAAATATGAGTAGCGTATTTCGGAATATAATTGTCACTTGAATTTTTATTATTTTTAAATGTAATATAAGTATTATAATAAAAAAAAAAAAGAAATATTAAGCGAATGTTATCCTTATCCCTATAAAAAGGATTTGATTTGTAATATTTATTGACATAAATGATTAATTGTTAATCAATTAATTGTATTAAAACAAATGAAAATTAGAGAATTGATATTCGTGATTTCAAAACTAAATAATAACAGACATAATTTACCAAAGCTAATTGAGATATCCTACTGAGACGTCGTGAGTTAGACGACAGTGAACGCTTTAGAGGTGCGATGTCTTGATCCCACAACTGTAACGTCAAAAACTTCTTTACAACATAAAGTAAGATTATACAAAATAAAAGATAACTTGATCTAGTTAATAAAAATTGCCATATTTATTTTTTGTTTAAATGTTTAAATAACTTTGTTGTTTAAATAACATTCAAAAAGAAATATTAATTTCATTTTGTTTGAATTGATTATATTTAATTCGTACCTGTGTAACCCTTTATTAGTTTTTTTTTCTTTTTTTGTCAAAAATTAAAATTAAATTCATATATACAGCAATTGGAATAGTTTTGTATAAAATAATAAATACATAATGTAAATGATATGTGCAACGATTATGTGGCAAGCGAATTGATTAAAAATAATCATGAAATACTAAAAACTGAATGTGTCATAAAAAGCTGTATAGTCTTTCGTGTAAAACATCCAACAATTGTTAATGCTTTTTACACCACTTTCTAGGCTGCAAATATAAAATGACATATTGTGTAAACAAAGTTTTGTATACATTAAAACATATCAGGATTTATACTGTAATGATGAGTATATACTGATAATATAAAACAAAAACGAGAAGGAAAAAGATAATAGAAAAAGATAATAGAAAAAGATAAAAGAAAAAGATAAAAGAAATAGAAATAATCGCAAAATAAACTAGCATTGATATAAGCACGTGTCTAAATGTGAAATAACATAATGTTTTTGTTACGTTAAAGAGAACATTTGTTCATAATATTATTTTAATATAGGTACGTGCATTGTATATTTGAACTTTTCTAATCTGACTTATCAATTTATTGTTATTATAATACATACCACCGTATGGAAGAAAGAATGTTCCAATGCTTCTTTTATTGATATTCTTTTCTTTGGATCAACAACTAATAATTTTCTTATTAAATCTTTAGGAGCCTCTGCAAAAATATACAAAAGTAATATGAAATATTAGGTAAAAAATAATAAAATTTAATATAACAATAAAGAAAAAATAATGATGAATATATATTGTACCTGTAATGTCTGCCCATTCCGGAGATGTAAAAGAATACTTTCCCTCCATTATATTCCTTAGCATGACCATTTGTTTTCGATGCCAAAACGGTGGACAACCGACTAATAAGGTAAACATAATCACTCCACAAGCCCATCTAAGAAGACATAAATATTGGCTCGTAGACCTTTATATTATGCATATAATAAAATCAATGGATCACAGTTATGGAATATCCTGCATATATTTCTTTTGGTTAGTTATTTGAAGAAAATATATGTCAGCTAAGTTAGCGAATGATAGATATTCTTTTGGCTAATGACAAAAATTTAAGTATTTCAGAATATATAATAAAACTTACACATCAACCTCGAAACTATAACCTTCTGCATTTTCAAACATGTTGCATTTTAAGACTTCTGGCGCTAAATATCCCGGTGTTCCACACAGATCTATAAATAGAAACATGTGTGCGTATATATATACATATATATATATATATGTTTTTGTTCTTTCTTTCTTTTGAATGTAATATTCACTCATCAAATATTAATATAAATAATAAAACAAACCAGATAGAATATCTCCAGGCTTCAACATCCTCGCAAAGCCAAAATCAGTTATTTTAACATTAAGGTTATCGTCAAGTAATATATTTTCTGGTTTCAAATCTCTATGAACTATACTCTGATTATGGACGTGTAAAACTCCTTCAAATACTTGTCTCATGATATAACGTGTTTTTTTTTCTGACAACGTTACAACTGATGTGAGGTAGTCGAATAATTCTCCATTTTTACATAGCTCAAAAATTAAAAATATAAATGTGCTAGACTCGAATACATCATGTAGTTCGACTGAAAATTAAACGAAAATATTTACATTTAGAAAACAATCGTTTTCTACACATCGTTTCAATTATCCGATATTAATTAATATTATTATTATTAATCCTTTTAGGTATTATATGTATATTCCGCTATATTTCGCTATAGTGACTGTATAGAAAAGTATTGAAAGAGAAAGAGAAAGAGAATTTTATTAAGCCTTTACATGATGATTTTAAACTTGAAGCTGCATGGCATATTCAGTGCAATTTCGGTGCATGGTCATTCTTCTTATTTTTGTCCTGTAAGATTCGTTACGAATCTATGTTTTATATATTATGTTTTTCGTGTTAAGCACGTGGTAAGCACGTGGTAAGCACGTGGTAAGCACGTGGTAAGCACGTATAAAGCATATCTCACCAGTTTCATATGTTGTTATAGCGCAAGTAATTAATAATAATATAATTTTATTAAATATAATTAATAATGAAAAACATCTTACTAATAAAAGGATGTCCAGCAACTCTACGCAAAATTTGTACTTCCTGTAAAGTAGCATCTTTCATGGTATGCCCCTCTGGAGATTCATTGCTAATATCTATAATTTTAGCAGCATATTCTTTACCAGTTTCTTTTTCTATACACCTTCTTACGGTTGAAGATATTCCTCTATAACACGAAAAGTTATTCAAATACATGTCTCATTAAAATTATATGGTAACACACGCACACATACACAGATAGTAGAATACAAATATTACTATCTTTAGAAATTCATCACACACACACACACACACACACACACACCTCACAATTATATAATGTACATATGCTATATTATTTTTACATATTAGCATATATAAATAATTTTTAAACAAAGAGTACGGAACAACAATAATAATAATAATAATAATAATAAAAAAAAAAGACAATGATTATGATAATAATGTGCGATAATACTTATTTGTATTAGTATAGATATCAATTCTTTATGTTGAAATCAGAATGGAATTAATAAAATTAAATAGGTATCATTAAATAAGCATTAAAAAACGATTAAGAAAAAGAACAAGGAGGATGGGAAAAACAAAAAAGGGAAGTAAAAGAGTGTAATATAGTACAAACCTTCCAAGAATTTCTTTGGGCTCGTATTTCGCGTAAAATCCCTTCGCAGCGTCCTTGTCTGGCAAAAGGTCATCCCCTTCGTCTTTTGCCATTTTAAATTGTTAATTAATTTCATTTACACCATACAAAGAAGTGATAATATTCGTTGTATTTTTAAAGAATATTGATAATGATAGAAGTAGTAACAAAACGGATATTTCACTAAACACTATTGTCATATCCCAAAAATAATATTCGTTTATTAAGTTGGTTTTACCAATGAACTAACTTCTACGCAACTTATACCGATAGTTTGAATGATCACAAATAATATAATACAGAAATAAAACGTGCATACAACAGACGTATACAAGACAGATATTATCGTCAGAATGAAGAATGCACAAAGCTGCATCTACGACATCCAGGCGAAAAAAACCCTCGACCAATGTGGTAACACTGTTATTTATGTAGTACTTTATACAACCAATCCCTGTAAAGAAAGGATAACCAATAAGGTGAAAGCAAGAAAGTTACATACTTTATTTTTTAGACGCAAGACATTCTGCGCAGGCGGGATAATTTAAAACACCATTTGCTGGTATTTATTAATTAAGTGAAATTAATTTCTATAAATATAAAATATATATATACTCGTATATAAAAATCGAATGCTATCATATACCATTCAATACCACAGAATGAATTATTGGATTATTTAATTAAAATTAATAATAATACAAATTAATTATATATATATATATATATTTTAGTTAGATTTACTTCATGATTGTAAAATTGTAATGATATATTTTGATAGAATATTGTTTTAAAATAAAATATAAAAACATAGCGTAGGATACTTTAATTTCTAATATACTCTATTATTGGTTCAAGATCGTATGCATATATTTACATACTTGCAATAGCATTTTGCTTTAAACTAAAGTTGTCACGTGACTTGAACTCTCAACTATTTTCATTCGCATATTATCATATATTATTATTGTACTAGAATTGCAATATCATTTCTTTCTTTCTCTCTCTCTTTTCTTTATAGATATTGCTATCATAAAATTTTATTATTTCATTAAAAATGCATTCAAATACAAATAATTGATGATATATTACGTAATGAAATGTTGTAAAAGCTTATAATTAAGATGTTATTTTTTTGTTTAAACAATAAATTAAATTCTCATTAAGCTTGTACCTCAAATTGATTTTGATATTTATGAACCACGTAGCTGAGCAAGTAATGCTTCATTTTTACGACATTCAATGGTAAGCTGTCTAACAGCAACAACGTATTTACGCTGCTGTTCTATAAGCATAACTAATTGTTGACTAAGATCATCACGTCTATTTTTTTCATCAGCGCACCGTTTCTCGACCTGCGCAATAAGAAGCCACAAAAGCTTATAAATATAAATCATTAAAGCATGAAAAATGTAAGAATATACTGTAGGAAGTACTATAACTAAATTAGTTTTTCCATACGCACCATTGATTTGTTACGTTTAACTCCTGCAACGATAGCTTCAAATTGTTTTAAAAATTGCTTCTTGCCACTTGTAGATGCCATTGCTCTATCATAAAAGCGTTAAAATAATTGTTTATTCTAAATATAAATGTTGTTCTTTGTTCTAATTTTAATTAAGTTTTATTAACTATTCAGCTACGATGAGATTGGTAGTAGCACTGTATTGTACGCATATAAATGAAAATAAAATGCAAAAAATCAAAGCAAATAATAATAATAATAATAATAATAATAATAATAATATTTTTTGTTATTTATGCAATAAATATAATTTTTATATAGTAGTGCTTAGTAGAGCTAAAAGGTTAATATGCGTTTACTTACTCGCTATAATTATCTTGTATAGAGTTTAACAAAGATAATTCTTTGCTCAAATAAAGCTTTGTATCGTCTAATGTATTGTACAACGTGTAATATTGTTTGGTCTCCTTGTGTTTAGCAGACACTATAATATAAAAATTAGTATAGAATGTAGTATTATTATGTTGAAATAATATTATCTTGAAATGATTTTAACCCTCTAACTAAAAAATTTCAGAGTTTCATTAAACAGTTAAAGAGTTAAAAGGGATTTAAAATAATGAATTGTGAATGTTTAAGGTAGATCAAATAATTGCCAACCCTGATTGTAAAGTTCCATGAACCTTCTTTGATATTGGGTTAACTCAGATCGTCCTGGTACATCATCCAATTGTCTAGTTAAAGAAGCGATAGCTCTATTTTTTTTGGCTAATTGCAATCTTGCTCTTGTTACTATTTCTTTTTGTTCTTCATATTCTTTAAGCCTATCTTCTTCTTCTGTCGGTAAAACATTATTCATTTCTTCTAGCATACTTAGAAGAAGAACAAGATCAGATTTGCATTGTTCTCGAAACTTTAATTCTTGTTCTCTTAAACCATCGTGCACCAATAAAAGTTCTTCTAAGCGTTTATAAATGCTATAATATAAAGAAATGATATATCATGAGAGAAATAAATGTTTGCGTAAGTAAAGAAGATTTAACTTTCATATAATATTATTCAAATTTCTTTCATTGATAATTATACGAATAAACATGTTAATAAATTCTACCTATCGTTTTCATTAATTCCTATTTCTTGTGCTTTTTTAAACGAACGTTCAAGAAGTTCTCTCTGTTTATAGAATTGATCTGTTTTATCGATTATCTCGGAAATTTTACTCGACAAAACATCTCTTTCTTTTGCCAATTTGTAAATTCGTGTCTGTAGATTAGCCTTTTGTTTTTGTAAAGTTACCAGGACACTGGACATATTGGATGTACCATTTTCCTACAAACATTTATACTGTGTTAAAAGAATAAATAAATTGTTAATTAGAGCACAACTTTTTTGCACCACTATATTTTTGTATGGCAATGCTCTACATGAACTGCACATAATTATAGTTAGTTTTTAATCTGTTTTTGGTAATATTAAAAGCCACTATATATAGTGTGACATTTAATAATAGTTAAAATATTATAATTCTAAACAATGAATGAATAAATAAGAAATAAAGATGAGAAAAAGAAGATATGGATTTTCAATCCTATATTTTAATATCTATTACCTCGAGTTCAGAAATTGATTTCGTTGCATATTTCTCAGCGACTTTAGCAATTTCTTGCGCTTGCATCCCAAAAATATTTCCAACCACATTGACACTCAGACGATCCTTTAATAATGATATTACAATGTTAATTTTATATGATTGCATTTTTGGTGATTATATACGGTAAAATGATTATCCGTAAAACTGTATGAGAGAGTTTATTATAAACATATTATCAAATTTGATTTCTGTTTTGTTATTAAATAATAATTTCTTTACTTACTGAACTCTCTTCGATAACTGCCATTGATCCTGCAATTTCTTTTACAACCATCTGCACAGAATAAAAGAAAAATTTGATTTAGCGAAATCTGGAAAGACAATTTATTCGTTAAATAATAATAATGATAATAATAATAATAATACATACATACTTTTTCATCGTTTGATACAGTAATATGGTTATCTTTTTTATTTTCTTGCAAAGTTGTCGTCGACTTTAAAGAAATAACTTCAGCATTTGTATTTTGGATATTATCGTGCAAATTAGCTTCATACTCCAAAAGAGTACTAAGAAATCGAGTAGACTCGTCTTTTGCCAAACTATCTTTATATTTGAATAATCGTCGAGGTTCATATAACCTCTGTAAAGCATTAAGACTAGAAAAATTGATTTTCTCTTTTTTTTTTTTTTTTTTTTATATATATATATAACAAACAGCAATAATTAATATTATCAGAAAGAAACTCTCACTTTAACTGATAAAATATTTTGCATCATATTTTTCTTAGCTGCAACTGCAATACCATTTTCATCTTCCAAAAAGAAATGCTTTTTATTAAATTGATTAAGTGCTAGGGAACGCACAAATCCTGCCATTTCTTTTCTCATCTCCATAGAACGCTTTATCAACCACTGAAACGATTTAAATGCATTACGCATAATGTAGATTTTGACTTGTAATAAATAATTATACCTGAATAACTGGAAATATATGAATACAATCTAATCCTTGTATTTGATGAGGTTCTATATGGTACGGACATTTCATTTTTGGCAGCATAGCAACAATTTTTTCAGTCAAAGATCTAGAAAAATACTAATACATGTATTCAAAACCATATATTGTTTTCTTAAATCTATATTAAACCTATAGCGTGGCAATCTATCGCTCTATCGCTCTATCGCTCTATCGCTTGTACTTACATTTTTTGACCGATTGTAAGATTTTCTCTAAACAATAAGTCCACGTCTACATCAAAATTGCAAGATTCTATACACCAAGTTATACCACCTATTACCTATAATAATAATAATAAAACTTCCAAAAAATTAAGATATTATAAATGAAAATAAATTGTAACTTGTTTCTTCTTGAGGTATACAAAATATTATAGTTATAACAATACTTTAATTAATCTCTTAAGTATCGTACTAACTACCATACCGATGATAATATGAAACTGGTTTTGACACAGATGTCATTTATATTTCATAGAATAATAGTAACAGAAATGGTGAGCATGTTCCATTGAAAACGATAATACTACTTTTTGTCAGCTAATAAAGTTATTTAATTGAAATTTTGCTAGCTTTTAATAATTTATACACTAGAAGAAAAAACGAATATTGAACTCTATGGAAACTTTGTATAAGTTGTGACATATAATAATAAAGAAAGTATAAGCCAAGTGCTAAAGTTGAATGGGAAGATACCTTGTCAAAATTTGACAGGCCTTTTATTCTAGCTCTGAAATATCCAGCCGCCACAAGGAGATCGATAATTTCTTGTAATTTCTTTGTCTGCTCTTCATCTTCACGTATATCAGTCTAAAAATACAAGATGTCATATTAATTGTTGATTGAAGAGTGATCTGTTCTTTTATTTTTTTTATTGTTTTTTTTTTTTAATAAATTTAATAAATATAATTCTTACTTCTGTCGATTCTAAACTTTTAGATACTTTCCTTGACGTACCATTCCACATAGTTACTTGATTATATTTAATATACACCTATATTTGATTTATGATTAATAATATTTTGCATATAACCACAAATATGTAGGATTCTAACTTGTGGCGCCACAAGTGCATGAATTTGGAATTAAACCCAACCACTACTTTAATCAATGAATGAATACGCGGGAATAATGAAACTTTAAAATTCATTTTATGCATGACTTTATACTTTTGAATTCGATTAATTTTCATTAAATATTTCTTATTATACTCGTTAAATTGTTTTGAATTGCTAATAAATATTATCTATAAGAAATAAATCCTATTACATTAGCTTACACTTATTACATATACTTGCTGTATATTCGGCACGCAGAAAGAAGTAAACAAACAGAAAGAACAAAAATGACATAAAATTTGAACGCATATATAAAAACAAAAACAGAAATTAACAGAAATCAATCGATCTGCGTTTGTAACTGCTTTAATGAGCACGTAAATGGCTAGTGCTTATAAATTATATAAATTGAAAAAATATATATTACAGTAGAAAATGTTCAAATAATCAATTAAATAAGTAGAGAGACTGTCAAGATTGTAGATTGGCATATAGATTATCTTATTATAAATACTAATAATATTTAAGCCATAATAGAGTCATGTGTTACTGCTCAGAGTTCTTGGTTTAAGAAAGTACACCGGGTCAGTGGGGATGAATAAACGAATAACATGACAACATTACTCCTTTTTTTTTGTATTCCCACTTACAACTAGTATATATAATTCTCAACATCAATTTGGAATAATTACGCTAAAAGTATTACTCGATCTAATACGTTGAAATTAAAATAAATAATCAATCTGTGAAGAGAATAATGTCATAATTTTAATGCAATGATTTATTAAAATAATACTACGAGAAGTATAATATAGTGTAATAATTTAAGTGAAGTGAAGCAATTGACCGAACAAATAACTTTTAACTAGTCATCCATTTTCGTGTAATAAATAAAATAAAAATATATTAAGTGCAATGACAGAATTAATGGAAATAGTAAGGAAAACACTTCTTATAATTCATAAGTTTGATCCAAGATATACAGATTGGAATAGATGGTTGAATTACTTTGAGTTTGCGATAAATAAATTCTTAGTACCAGATGAGGAAAAAGTACAGTTTCTATTACATATGATCGAACCTGTGGCTTTTTATATGCTTAGGAATAAATTAGAAACAAATCCCTTAGACGTACCATACGACGTGATAATATCCACATTACAAGCTAGCTTTGATTCTATGCCAAAAGCGTATGCTGCTAGGTATCGTTTTTATCATCGAAATCAAATTGATGGTGAAACAGCTCGGGAATATGCATTAGTTTTAAGCAAGTTAAGCATTCAATGCGATTTGGGATATAACAGAAATACTAGTATATTAGAAAGATTTTTATGTGGGTTAAGAAGTAAAGAAATTCGCGATTACTTGAGAGAAATAGATTCATTAGATATGAATAAAGCAGTATTTATAGCCCAGAAAATGGAAATAACTGAATTATTGCATAAAATGACAATTTAACCATCAATGCTAAATGATGAATGAAAATGGACAGACAGACAGACAGATAGATAGATAGATAGATAGGTAGATGAAACAAGATTTCATCCAAAATTGTCATCCCAGAATTGATACTGTTAAAAAGACACTTGCGAAATTGAGAAACATTCCGACGTTATAGTAATTGGTGAAATGTTCATAAACGTATGTAAAAATTAAATCTGTTTTATAAGCTATATTTGTGAAAATGTGAGTTCTATATTTAAGAAAATATGTGTAAATCAGAATAAACAAAAAGCTTATACGACGAAATAGCGCTTTATTCTTCTGTTAAGAAGAATCCATCATATTATTGAATTACATATTTTTGCAAGTTAAACATTTAAATAAATCCTGAATTTTATTTTTCCTTTGTATTTTTATGCAGGATTATTTACTATTATTGTTATTATTATTATTATTATTTTTATGCAGGTTATTATTATTTATACTAATAATAAGGAATTAATATTAAAGAAATACAAAAATGAAAATTCTTAATTGTTCTTGGAAATAACGTGGTTATTACTATTTAATAGTTTTCCAAATAAAACCAGAAATTTAGAACATATTTTTATGCGTTGGATTGATGTAACAGGCGGTCCTGCTTAGATATTTTCAAGTGTTGATAGTAACATAAATAAATGCGCAAACGAGATATTTTTGCGGAGAAACGAAGAAAAGAAAACGCGTTGACATGATTACAATTTCAATGATATTTTCAAGTTTACAAAAAATTTACTCAATTTACAAATGTATGACATTATCGTCTTCCTGACGATATACATAAGCTAAAATTTAATCTCTTGACTTTCATCGAGGTTCAAAATATGCTACACTCGATAAAATAATTGAACAGGAAAAAAAAATTAAGACAATGTAAAGAAATGAAGAGAAGATTTGTCCTGGATTATTGTATTGTTCCGAATACTAAAAGTTTTAATAAATTAATGTATTTTTATTAAATATATCAAAGAAAAAAATAGAAAAAGAAAATTAAAATAATAGTTAATTTTGATCTATGTACCTTCCTCATCGAGATTCACCTTCGGACTAACGGGTTATCCTCTGTTAAAATTCCTTTATTCAATGCAGTTTATATGACTTTCCGAACATTGCGCATATGTGCAACTGTAATACACACATCAAAAAAATTCTTGCATTACCTCAGTTCCAAGATCTCTCCTCAACATTGACGTAGACTGTTAATAGATTTAACAAAACCCGCAAAAAGGTTCCAAGATATCCTGAACATAGACGTTGACTGTTCATAGATGTCATTTTGAACATACAACAAAATACAATACCCTCGTAAAGCAGATTATTACTGAAAAGTTCGTAGGAAAGGAGTTAATAACTGATTCATACAACAGGGAAGGTAAACTGGAAGTGTCTGCTCATTACTATAAAGAATGATAAAAAGAATCCAACAATACTGCAACAATGAAAGATTTTTAAATGCACTGTTTTTATTATACTTACATTAGGAAGAAACCATAGACCGTAATAATCTATCAGAAGATTAGCAGAAGGAATGCATCCTAGTTATCACGAGTTAAGAAAACAAAAGACAAATACATTATATTAGGAAACTCTATTCTTGTACAAAATCTTTTACCAGGTTTTCTAAACGATAATGGAAGATATTATTGTTCATCGACTGCCAAAAAAGATTTATGTATTTATATAAATTAATATCTTCCTTGCAAAGAATTCCATGTGAATTATTATGCGAATAGAATGCAGCTGTTCTGACTAAAAATAATTTAGACAATAATATGTTAGAGGCAAATATAATAATTTTGCTAAAAAAAGAGGTAAATATTATAATACTATAAAGATAAACTTACTTTTATCATATAAAAATTGATTTATATTGCATTTATTTTTAATCAATAAATAAAAACATATAGTGTGTCAGTTACCTATATTTTATTACCGACTGGTAAAATTTTTATCGCCACCTATCGGTACTAGATATTACTTCACTGTACCGACTAGTAAATTTAGGCTGCCATCTAGCAGAAGTAAATGTTACTATGTCTTACCGATTARTAGAATATGTTTCGCCATCTAGACAAAAGATAMAACATCACTAGGATAAAATCAAGATGGCTACCTGTCAATATACTTTGAATACCATAAACACAGGCTATGTGCAGTGTAAAGTATTTAATTAAAAAAATCCTTAGTGATGCAATAATCAAGTGAATAATATTTTTTATTTATAATAATTCGTTTCAAATTCTTTCTTTAGTGATCGCCAATTCTGGATGAAAATAGTTAAATTGGATGTATTGCTGTGGGACAGTGTTATGTCATAACCTAAGAATAATAATTTTCTCAATTAAATCCGTATACGGATGAATTCTAGACGTTCTTTTTATTAAATTATTATAACAAATACTAGTAAGTAATTTATATATTTTGTTTATACGAAATTCTACTAATTATTAAAATATATGAATTATTTTGTCTTTTAACTTTATGCATTATCTAAACATTTTCTCTCTTCAAACTCATTTTGGTATTTATATATAAACTACTTTTTTTTTTAATATTTTTAGATCAGCATGCAGATCTATATTTTTAATTCCAATTCAAGAACATTATCCTCACGAGAAGAAGAATTCATTACACCATTCRATCAATGGATATATATTTCATTTTCTTACGACTAACGATTAAAAGATTTGCATTGATTATGCCATCCGAATAAGAGTTTTATTCTATAATATTATGTAAATAGAATGTAGGTGGACTAACAAAGAATAATCAAGAGAAGAATTTGTCAAAAGGTAAGCATTGCAATCTTGCATTTATAAAAAACAAACCTATATCAAACTGATTGATAAACTGATTCATTTAACAGGATAGGTAAATAATTTGACTAGAAATGCCTACTCATTATTATCAAGATTGATAAGAAGAATCCAACAATACTGCAACTAACATTATTATATTAAACACTTATATGTCTATTTTGCACCCCACAATAATACACATGCACATACACAAAAAAGGATTTCTTGTATAAAGTGTTGTGCTGCGACTTATCATCGTCGACTTTATCGACATATAATTTTATATAAATGAACGGGGTGATTAATTGGATCAAAGAAAATGTAAAATCAGAAAGGAATTTGCCTCGACTGTGTCTTTTATGTTAGATCATCATCATCATCAGCAGCAGCATCATCATTAATATATACTCTATATATACACATACATATTTCAATTCTCTTGCGTGACCATAAGAGTATAATTTCATGGAAAATTAATTATTATATAACAAAATATTTCGATGCATGTACAATTATATGTAGTAGTAGTAATTCATG